ATAATAATAATAATAATAATAATAAGAAGAAGAAGAAGAAGAAGAAGAAGAAGAAGAAGAAGAATTACATTTTAAAAATATGACGATACAAAGACTATACATTTATTAGTGAAAAAAGATGTGTGTTAATAGCAAGTGATCTCGAGTTGTCGTAAAACTGATATAGTGTTTGGAGGAAGTAGTAGAAACATGATGAAGCCGGTATTAGAACCAGTTTATGGATATGCATTCCATCTTATCTACCTCAACGTACAAATTTGTCTCGTGTTCGACAGTGCCAATGTGCAAGCGGTTCTTTCGTAATTCGCGTCGCGATAAGCAAACACATGAATTACAACGTCTCGGTCTGTATTCGGAAGATGATAATGGAAATATTTAAAATTCACTCCGGCATAATAACCAGTTAAGGGATATTCCTGCCATCTTAACCACTCAAAAACACAAAATTTATCATATTCGATATTGTCAATCTGCGTTATGCAGTATTTAAATACTTCCATTTGAAATACGTATTTTAAATGCATTTTGTATTTGAAAAACTGTTGCGCTTTTTTTTTTCGACTCCTGCCAGTTTGTCACCTTAAAAGGACTTTGTGTTTGAATATATAATAGAGAATAATACTGCTCTGATGTGTTTATTAGGATCATGAATACAAAATAAAAAGACATGTTTAATGATATACATAAAAAGGATTCAAATGGTTTGTTGTGATGTTCAAAACAAAGAAAAGCATCGACTTCAACGACCTCTCGTGAGCGGTGCCCGTATTTTCCGGGGGCGGTGCCGTCTTGCTTCTGCGCCCCGGTGGCGGTTATTTTAAAGGGCCGCGGGTGACCACTACACTGGGCCCCGTATTGTTCGCCCTACTGTTTTATAGCAAATCCGTATTTTGTACTCAGAAGATATACAAATTCGGACAGAATGAATTAAGAGAAACTTTCCTCGATCACTTAATGACAATATTCCAATTCCATGTAACTCGATATCTGCGATTTTTACTGGAGATTATCTCAATGAAAGTACGTAACTGATCCAGCATGTTTCAATTTTCTCTTAAGAATTAGCTTTTCTATTTGCTATCCATTTGGTCGTTCTCCACTTTACCGTAGTGTTTGAATACATCAGCAGTGTGTGACGGTTCGTCACGAGAATGCGGACTGCCTGGGTCGCACACTCACCAAGCAATGTGTCTCTCTACAACGGAGACTGGTAGAGTAGTTACCGATGAACTACAGTGCGCAGGGCTTGGCGTGAGCGAAGAGCGTAAGTGCCGTCAAAGACATCAGATACACTCGAGCCTAGCGCCAAGAGAGCAGCTACAAGAGACAAAACTTCCCCTGGAGGGGTGTCAGTCCATTATATGGACTCGGGTCACGTGACAGCTGAGCCGTGCGCAAACATGGGCGAGGCCCACGTGCCGTGTGCAAAGGAAGTGCGTTTTTCGATTATGACCCCATGGGATGGCCCACCGCGAGCATCCTGTTGTTGTCGGTTTTGCCCGTGCTTGGGTTGGGTCTGCAGGCGCCAGTGTGTCGCACCGCAGACGTCCGGTTGAAGAGGCCAACTTTGCATACTGCGCACAACTTAGCTTCGCGTGACCTCAAATCATGATCCGAAATCAATAATGACTGTGACAATTTTATCACTTTATTTCATTAACAAATTTAATTTTATCATTAGGTAATTATTATACATCAACAATCAGTATATCGAAAATTAATATTTTACAATTTTATATAAAATAATATTCTGGGAATACATTAATTTACTGGAACAATTAATGTGTTTAAATATAATAACATTTTTCATTATTCGAATTCAGTACTGTGGAATTTATGCTATTTGCCGGTTCTATCACTTGTAGCAACTTGAATAGCAAAAATACAAAGCTATCATGTAATAAACTCACTTGTTCTAGAGCGTGAAAGTCTCTTGCCAAAATAAGTTCGTGCTCTCTCCATTTAATGAATTTTGCGCTCTCGTATAATGTAAACAAGAGAAATTTGATTTGCTAATCTTACAACATACTTTGAATTTTTTAATGAAAAATTTTCATTATTCTTATTTGTTCTTTGTATGTTAAAAAAAGCTCTAATTTCCAGGAACTTGTGACAACTCTATTTCTGGCTTATTACTGCAGATGTTCTCATCCGACTCAGCATTCGCAACAGTTGTGATGAATGCCATCAGCTTCGTGAACTCCACTTTTATTTGTAAAACAAATTGTGAAGGTAAATTTAAAAGCAATTTATGTTCGAAACACACTATTTATTTATGAAAAATATTTTGTAGCTTTACTTACTTTACTTACGTTTAACCTTAAAATCTAATTTTTCAGGGGGGGGAGGAAAATTATTGAAAACTTCTACACTATCTTTGCCTGAGGTCAATGACAGCTCTATATTCATGTTAGCAATGTATATAGGTGATTTGCGAGTTTAAATGTAGCTTCTCTATGCGCAAATTTTGTTCATCTATCCTTTTGCAAGTAATGGTTGAAACAGAGCCGGGGTTGACTATTTTGCTTGCAATATAAAAAACCAAATTTGCAGTTCACTTACAAATAAGTTTTGCATAATTCCGGAGCGAAAATATTACTAACCTCGTTTTTAAATATTACTTATCTCGATTTTATTTAACTTTTATTCATCATTCAACTATTTGTGGTTAAAAGGTGGTGAAAAGATTCTAGAGCTCAAAAAAAACGTGCGCATATTGTATTTCTCCCCCATACGTCACATACGAATGTCACGTTTCAGAAACGACTTATGTCAGTAAGTAACTTTTCATAAGAGTCAAAAAACCCTTCTAATCAGCTATATTTGTCACAAACATTATGTCACATTTTTCAGAAGTTGTGTTTTGTATCTTATATAGAATTAGTGTCACATTTAGCACAAAAATTATTTTTTAACAATTTTCGTAGCTTTATTTTAAAATTATTTTTTCAACAACATCGTAGACTTATTTTACCATAAAATCTATATTAAGAAATATTTTTTAAGATATACATATCGCTCCGAAGATGAAAAATGTAATATTCTCGGTAGATTTGAATAGAATGTGAATTAAACGTTTTAAAAAACTGGGAAGTTTTTATTTTCTAAATAAAGTAAAAAGTATACATTCTGTCCTAACATTCAAATGTCTACTGTTTTAACGCATATTAGCTCATTTTATCGTGAACGCAAAAACTTTTCAAACGATCAAAACACTCGTTCATTTTGATATAATAATGAATTTGGTCCCGTACAAATATTCTGTGTTTGTATATAATTGTTTTAAAAATTAAAAAGCTTCCTACCCGAGACAACTCCGAACGCTTTTGACAACCCGTACTACGGGATGGAAATATCTGACGGATTTCCAGTGGAATATGTGGTAATATTTTTTTTGAATATTGGTATCTAAAAACATTACTCGGGTCCCAAAAACTTTCCAGTTATGCACGATGGTGTGTTGCAGGTTGCATGTTCGTCTAATTCACTATATTTATAGTATTTAACGAAACGAGTGGATAAAGTGGGGTATAATTGCATGAGTGGGTATGTTTAAGAAAGCAAGTGACGATAGGAACGATCTATTTTAGTGGGCGTTGCGTTGTGTTTGTTTGCAAGAAATATTTGCATAAGAAAGGTACTGAACATATTGCGGATAAAATATTAGAAGAACTTGACGAAGTCATTACGAGTAAATCATTACTTCTCACGAAAAGCAAAGACATGTATGAGATAGAATACAACATGAATAAATTGGGGAATAAAAAACTCTAGTCACTTCTGACACGGTTTTTCTGTAGCGTACTTTTTAAAACTGATAAGCACAAATGACGTTTACATTTTTTACATCTGTAATCCTAAGACGAAATGTTTTACATGTCATACATTTAATTTGTTCTCGTTAAATATTTAATGTTGTTCCATTAGTCAGATATCTTAACGTTTACTTCGCCAGTTTAGTTTTATTCATTCGTCGTTTACATGTGGTTGTTGTAAGTACGTAATCTGTGATGTACATTTTTGTTCATGCTTCATGTTCGACTGGAAATATCCGTTGTATTATAGTTTCTTAATTCAACGATTTGTCTCATTTTCTGAATTCTGATTGGTAGGTTTGGAGTTTTAATTAAACGGTTGAATTTGAATTGCGCGTGCTATTAGCATAGAGAGTTAATGTAGCATATTTAGTTAACTGAACGAAAAATACTTTTAGCACATTTAGTTATTTTCGTACCGTTCTGACCATGGTATTTTGAATCGATGGGTTCTCAAAATGTTCAGCAATTTTCCTTAGCTGCAAAGTCCTTTAGCTTATGGAAATAATTTGGCGCAAAAATATTTGAAAATCTATAGGTTTATAACATATTCATTGAGAGTATCGTATTTTAATTAGTGTATTCATTGATTTATATACAATGTGCATTGATGAACACTTTCTATTCCAGATGCTGCGCAAACTGCAACAATCAAAACATATTTGTTTTATGGGTGAGTATAGCCATAATAATGTACATCACATACTCTTAATCTTTTATTCACTTTTCCATTACTAAAATCTGCGTTTATTCCGTTTCAATTACTCAAATCCGCGAAGTTAGTTTTTTGTTGGAAACAAAATTGAACGTGTAGGTAAATATAATTTTCTTGGGCTAAATTTAAATCTTCAAACCATTAGGTATCACCCAAAGTTAATTTGCAATGTGAAATAAAATTTCCAATTTTATAGAAATATATTTGTCTTTGCCATGATTTAAAATTTATTAAACGTGTAGCCTAGATTGTAATCGATATGTAGCTTCTTGCTTTGTCTAGAGTGATGTAAATATTATATTTTACGAATCATTGAAATCATACGATAAGGTGAAAAGTATATTCATAGAATTCGGTTCTAGAATTCATAGAATTCGATTATTTTTTTTGGCTCTTCTTTTTTATTTTTTCAGCCCCAAAAACACCGACTACCAAGTCGAAACTTTGGAGAATATGAACAAGCTGTTCACAGGAGGCCATTGGAATAAATCTCGCAACACGACGTGCTTCTTTCCAGGGTGGACAAAAACTGCCTTAAGTGCAGACTATGGTTTGCGCTTCGTGGATGGTAAAAATTTAATTTCTCAAGTCTGTATTACGTATGTACCGAGGCTGGGATAAAGAGAGTGATATCACAAGATTCACTTCACAAACAGCATTTTATTACCTTCTCAAGAGGACTTTCTAGTGTATTAGCGTAAGACGCCATTACACTAGAAAGTCCTCTTGAGAAAGTATGTATTAAGGGTGGGATAAAGAGGGTGAAATCACAAGATTCACTCCGCAAACAGCATTTTACACTTATCCTAAATTTCTTTATCCTACCACACACTACAAACTACTAACCTTAAACCGAGGGTTAAGAACTATTTTCACAGATCGTTCTTTCTTAACATAACATAACATAACACTTAGTCCTCATGACGAATTTGGTAGTATAATACTTCTTCTTTTCTCTTCCACCTTAATCTCTTCCTTTAGCTACTCTTATTCATTTTATTTTTGCTATACTCCGTATATTCCTACGTTATCTTGGCTTGTCTCTCTACACTTCTTTTCCCGATAAGCGGATCATCCTAGAGACCAATGAACTATCTCCGTTTTCCGTTCAGCAACGGGCATCATTTTGAAGGCCTTAATGAACTCTTTAGAATCATTTGAAATTAAAAACAGTACCGCGGTCGGTCTCCAGACATCTGTTTTACTCAGTACATGTTAATTGGTCAGGAAATTTCTGGGATGTAATGGAAGTTTTTAGGTTATATAATCATCAATTTTATATGTCACTCTTACTACGAGTTTATTCTTCATATATTATACTTGTAAATATTTTTTAGTTTGTCTTTTCTGTTATAACTTTATATTCCTTATTTTCATTATGCTCTACGAGGCGGATTTTCTTCGTACCAATTGGATATTTATTTACCATCAAAATTAGCTCCTATCCTTCGAAATCTTATTTATTTATTTAATTCAACTAATACCCTGGGTTTATTGAATCGGTCGTGAGAAATTTGCGAGGGATGACAGTACCGTCCCAACGGATTCGCGACTACGACAATTTACTTAATAAATATTTTTATTTATTTATTTTTGGGGGTTCGGGGACTCCCCTTACCATTACCTAAATAACAATTCCCATTTTCCATTAAACAAATATTATAATCTGCTTTCTTTCAGCTTGAATAAAACAAACATACATAACTCATTTCCGCATCAAAACAAAAAACAAAACAATAAAAACCCTTTATACATTAATATTTCCATTCTCACTATTATTTACATTACCACATTCATACATATCTTATGCTTAACTTATTTCCCCAAGCATGCATGGCAATTTATTCCAATTATATTATACCAATTATTACTAGCTAACACAACTTGATCTTCCCTTAATACGCCGGATTTGGATGACCCTTTTCTCACTTTCATTTTCAGAAACCACTATCTTCTTGATTGACGCATTCCACGATAAATTCCATGTGTCATTTCAGAGTGGTCCCATTACACTATCAACAATGCCAACTAACTTACACCATTCGATCATCACCACGTCACAACACCTCTAGCTACATACTCGCACATCCGAACGTCACTGCGTCGGAATAGCTTCTCCCTGCATCCGTTCGTCACCGAGTCGGAAGGCCTTCTGCCGTCTTGTTCATAGAACGCGCTGTTCTTTTGTTTACCTACAGATTGCGCAATATTGTGCCATTTTCGTTTCTCCTTCGTTTTCCTGCGCTTATCGCCCCTTCCTCTCACGCCCCTTCCTTTCTGATTGGCTAATCCCATCTAAGCATCTTATACTGTTTATTCCGTGACTAATCGATTCTTTCTCCTATATAATTAACAAATTCCCACGGAAATTTTTCACGGGTCCATTTGAGTCTATAATCACAATGAATTCTACTACTTCCCCAGTCTATTAATCACGCTACACTTCCCTTACATTCTCATTATTTACAAAATCGTCATATAATTACTTCAGATTCCCCATTGTAGATGTCATGTATATTTTTAAATGACGCGTAATTTGTTAAATGTTCACTGTGTTGAATCATCAGAATGCCGGATACATATATTTTATAAGATTGATTTATTTAATTATTAAATTCATTTGGTTTCATGATTTGATGTCAGTGTGACTGTTTATGCTCTAGTGATCAAGCTTAATAATAAAAGTAGTAATAATAATAATAATAATAATAATAATAATAATAATAATAATAATAATAATAATAATAGTAATAGTAATGCAAGGCATGATGTTCCTGCTCATGTTAGCCTTACGAAATGGTGTGTCACAGCGTACCTTGCCAACGACATCTACAACGTGTTAGTGGTGGAGTGGCCAACCCAACAGGAGTACGCGGAGTTGGTGTGTCAGATGCCGTACTTGGCGGCGCGACTGGCCAAAGCCTTGGACAACTTTTCGCTGGCCAGCGGCGGCGACGTCTCCACGATGATCTTCGTGGGCCACAGTTTGGGCGCTCACCTCTGCGGTAACACTGCCCGCCTCCTCGCCGCCCTCAAGATCACCTTTCTCGCCGGTGAGCGGTGTTCGCAATGACAAGCGCCACTCTCTTCCCTTAGGGCTCCTTGCCACGTCGCGACGGCGGCGCGCTTCCTTCAAGCAGCAGAGCCCTTCCGACGCCGCCACCGCCGCAGCCACGGCCGCACCGCCGCCCGCCCTGGAAGGGGGTGGGGTCTGGAGGGGTAGGTTTCGCCGACCCTCCGGCGACGACGAATAACCCTTAGGGCCCCTTCCCACGGCGCGACCGCAGCGCGCTTCGCAGCACCGCGGCGCGCAGCAGAGCATTGGTTTAAATGGAGGCCTTCCCACGCGCAGCGGGTGGCGGTTGCTGAGGCAGCCGACGCCGAACTCCAGCCATGCGAAGCGGAGGAGGGCATACGCGCCACGGCTATCATTACACAGCTTTAAATGGGTGCCTTCCCACTGTGCCGCCGGTCGCTGCGGTTTACCTGCTGCGGTCCCTTTGTTGGACGTCGCCGGAGGGTCGGCGAAACATACCCCTGCAGACCCCACCCCCTTCCACGGCGGCGGTGGCGGCGTCGGAAGGGCTTTGCTGCTTGAAAGTAGCGCGACCGCGGCGCTCTTCGCAGCAGCGCGGAGCGTAGCAGAGCATTGGTTTAAATGGGTGCCTTCCCACTGTGCCGCCGGTCGCGGCGTTTTACCTGCTGCGGTCTCTTTGTTCGACGTGGTGGCGGCGTCGGAAGGGCTCTGCTGCTTGACGGAAGCGCACCGCCGTCGCGACGTGGGAAGGCGCCCTAAGGGCCCCTTTCCAGGTCGCGACGGCGGTGCTCTTCCGAGCAGCGCGGCGCGTAGCAGAGCATTGGTTTGAATGGAGGCCTTCCCACGTGCAGCGGGCGGGCGCTGCTGCGGCAAGCGGTGGAGAACTCTCGCTACGCGAAGCGGACCGCTAACAGAACACAGCTTTAAATGGTAGCCTTCCCACTGAGCGGCCGGTCGCTGCGGTTTACCTGCTGCGGTCCATTTGTTCAACGTCGCCGGAGGGTCGGCGAAACCTACCCCTACAGAACCCACCCCCTTCCACGGCGGGCGGCGGTGCGGCCGTGGCTGCGGCGGTGGCGGCGTCGGAAGGGCTCTGCTGCTTGACGGAAGCGCGCCGCCGTCGCGACGTGGGAAGGCGCCCTTAGCCTAACCTTAGACGTGTTGACACGCGAGAAATTTCCGTAATCGGGCTGTCGCTGGGAGACTCTACATGTGTTTAAACGCGAGGCCATTTTCCTTCTTTTAATTCCTTTTGCGAGGGCCAAATGATTCCTGAGATTATTTTAGCGGTATCTAAGGGTGGTTCAGCACTCTAACTTGACAGTTTGATACGGTTCTGGTCATGCATGTTTACGAGCGGCATGTTTAGTTAGTTTAGTACGCCAGGCAAGTCTCTATGCACTGATGCGAGTCAGGGCCTCCTATTAAAAACTACATTTATGTTGATACTATATCCGCACGTTTTCTTGAGCCCCGGAATGTCTATCCCCTCTCCTTTCCCTACATTAGTTGCATTAAGAATAAATAATAGTAATGAGAGTTGTAGACAAAATCTGGGGACGAGGAATGTTCGCTCTCGTGTATTAAAAACAATTTTGTTTGGCAAAATGAACTATGAATTCGACTTAAAATTCCTTTTGTCAAAATAACCCCCACTCCTCTTGAATCAAGCGAAGCGAGGGCTTAAAGGCACGTGCGCGAATAAAGCAACCAGACCACTGGAAAACAAGTGAAAGGGACAACACTTCCAGCATCTGTTATGATTGTGGTTAATATGCAATGTACTCTTTACAATCTGCATCTCGTGCTATAAACATCATTTCTGTTGCTAGCAGTTTCACCATCAAGGTACCACTGCAGAGAGACTTTCTTGAATGTGCAATACTGTTTATTATCTGCTTCAGTGGCCTCTATGTTGGAAACACAGACGCTGGTTTCTTAAATTATGAATGCATCACTAGAATGAGCTTCATGAAGGGTTGGGAAGAGTCTCTCACCAAGGACCGTATCACAAAAAGAAATGTATGGTCGCACTAACACTTTACTCTCGCTGTTTACTTTTCAATCCCGCGAAACGCTGGTGACTTTCGAAGTCCCGTCAGGTCGTACCCAACACATATTTTCTTTTGTCATTTGTTACTTGCCTTTTACTGGTGGAGTTATTCGACGTTTTCTCTGCTACTGCGTCCAGTTGTGATTGGAGTTGCTCCATAATTTCAAAGTTACCGCAGCCAACAGCTGTATGAGCACTGCTCTATGAACACTCAGCATACTCGCTGAGCACAGCCCGACTGGCGGCGAGTTCACCACACAGCTCGGCTGTATCAAAGAACGAGGTGAAAGAGATGAGGATGATGGTAGTGGTTTGCTGTTGAAATGCCTTTCCTACACCTCTAATGCAGCTGAACCCACAAATCAAGAATTCATACAGCACAACTTGTCAAAGGAAGTAATTCACTACATAGAGGGGCTATATTTATCCACTTTTTCATTGCCAGGGTTTAGCAATAAGAGTGTTTCTGTTGAAAAATCGTCGATTTCCATCTCAGACTTCTCCACTCCATTCCGCCACTTTCTCTTAACTACATTAGTAGTAAGGCGGGAATGTAAAAATACCGGCGTAGTTAGCCACATTGCTTCCTTGAAGTCACGGAAGTTAAGCAATTACTCACACTACGAATTTCTAGAAGGGTGAACGTCCGGGAGCCCCATAACTAACTCCAGGAGCCCTTGACCGGAGGAAGAAAAGTCGTTGAATTTTCGGCAGAAAATCTCTTATTACTGGGTCCTGGTATCATAAAAGCGGATAAAACTTAGTTACTAAATTTAAAAAATTACTAGTTAAATACTAAGTTATTAATAAAACTTAGTTAAAAGTTACTACATTTAGAATAAAATCCTCTGGCACATGGTGTAGTATGAATCCATGTTATGAATCCAGTCCTTAATACCGAAAAATTGAATGACAAAACGTCTGACCGTACGTCTGTGTATAACGCTTGCGGCTAACCCGTTCAGCCGATTTTTTCCAAAATTCGATATTCCTCAATCGATTTGGTTGATGTTACGGTCCCTTGAATTTTAAACGTACATTTTAATTTTGGGGGTTACTTCACATCAAGGTGTTAGGACCTTTTACAAATTTTCAAAAAAGGGGCTCCATGGATTTTCACTAAATTTTGTTGTTGGATAGTATGAAGAACGTTTAAGAGAAGGTGAAGGTCTCATTATCGTTGAAAACTCAAAAATATTTTTAAAAACATTCTTCATACAACTAAAATATTAAATATAAAATTTATTTCTTTTGATGAAATCTGTTCCTTAAAGATAGATTTTGAAATAAGGCCACGTATATTTTTTCGAAAAACTGAATACTTTTTACGTAATGTCGGGAGCAAATATGAGCGAGAAAGTACGTGCTATTTAGCGCCACTGCTATTTTTTACTGTAAGTATTGGATTCCGTGTTTTGGCAGCACTGGATCCCGCGGGCCCGCTGTTCTCGGTGCCGTGGCGCTGTCAATTCGGCGTGGGCGCCAACGACGCGGAGGTCGTCGTGGGCGTGCACACGGACGCCGGGAGGACCGCCTCTGCAACGGACGTCGGCATCGCCGACTACTACGCCAACAACGGCACCGCCATCCAGCCAGGCTGCACGGCCTTTGGTAAGAGGTTGCAGCTGCCCGCTGGCTTGTGCCAGGAGTTGGCTACGGCGCATTCCAGGGCCCTATAACTCCCATACAACGTGGTGGAGACCACTACAGTGGCGCGCTCTAGAGCATCACCATCTTACACGAACTAAAATACGAACCGCTACCGACGTTATTTAAAACTTGCGTGGGTTCTCGGGACGCAAACACACGCGCTTGGTACAAGAGATCGCGTCGCTATTCGCGTTTCTTTTTCTTTCATTCGTGTATTATTATGAATAAAAACATTTTAGAAGATAAACACATAGTATTTAACTTCGTTTGTAATTTATCTCAGAAATCGCTGATAACCAAAGTGTATTCGTATTTCTTGACCAATTTTTATGTGCGAAAGTTGGCGAGCCTTACCAGCAGCGTATCCGGAGACACTAGCGCATCCTATAGTAGCATTTTCTAGCTTTGTCCCAAATGTTGATGGATAGTTGCCGGGCCCTGACGCATGCGTTAACTGTGGCTCTGTCTCCGAGGTCTTACGTCTCTTTTCTTTTTAATTTGTTGTATCCTCCTTTAATTTTATCTGGAGTAATCCTTCGTTATTAATCACCCAGCGTCCTCTTGGGGCCGCGGGGTAGTCGAGCCACGTCACTAGAACTCAAGTCACGGAATCGCCGACAGGTAGCGTCTTCGCGCTCGCGTCATCTACCCATCGGCAAGAATTGGCAAGGAATAAGAATAGGGGTAATGTTTAGGACGCTTCACAGAGTTGTACTAACCCCTGTGAAACATGCAAAATCGTTTTGTCGTAACAAATTTCACATTTTCGTACCTCGACAATGGCTGAATTCTCAACACTAGCTACACATCTGGGTCGAGTACAGTCGCTGTCTGGAGAAGAATTCCAGCGGTCAGCTACTCTGGTAGTTGTTCATGTTTTTTTTTATCAATGCCAGTCAAATGCTGGAGCAGTACCCCAACAAACGGGCCACGGACCGCGGGCGATCTATTTCCTTCCTTGTCCTATCCTCCCCCCTTAGGCACGCTTACATGTTTTACGCTAAAACACATGCCCGGACCTAAGAGCTACTCCTCGTTACAGCAGCGTCCCGCTGGAGAGAAATACCTGGAGTGGGAAACCCCGCAATTGGATGTGTAGATCAGTGATGGACCACACTATCCAGATTGAGAGTAACGTGCTTAAACATTCACTAGAACTACCCATGATCACAAAGGATGACTTGCCCGGAATCAAATGCATGATGGAAAAACATTAATAAACTATTGCGCATCGTATCCGACTTCAGAGAATGAGCGCCGTGCATTAGTTTCAGTCACAATATTAGCTGAAATTTTAGATCCTGACAGATACTAAAATTATTAACTTGCTACGAGCCATTGAAACAGATATACGAACCTTTTTTTTAAATATTGCATCTTGTATTTCAATTACACCTTCATCGTGTTATTTTTCGTTGAAAATTGTTACATTATGCCACTTTCAAAATGTTTCTCGACACTTCTCGCTCTCCGTGCAGAACGAGCAAAATTCGGTGCGCCGCATTAACTCCTCTACATATTTTCATCACGCATATATATATATATATATATATATATATATATATATATATATATATATATATATATATTCTTCTTGATTACCTTAAAATGTGAAATCGGGGACAAAGGGTAAGATTCTTGTTTTCATATCCCACGCTCTTGCAAAATGGAAAGAAACTCAAATACATCTACACTCAAATACCAAAACAGCAGCATTTAACAATTCACTAGAGAATATACGAGTGTCTATTACCCTCTTGACATGCCAAAACTACTGATACATATCCAACATATTCCCAAGGAGACCAATGCATAAGCACTTCCCATGCCCCGAAAACCATAAAGAAAAACAAAAGGGGTTAATGTTTTATAAAATGATTTTCAAAAAATTTTACAAAGTAAGTAGTAAAATAAGTAAAAATAAGTAAAATAAGTAAAATAAGTAAAATAATTAAAAATTTTATAAAGTAATTTTTTTCAAAAAAATTACCATCTAATAATATGATAATAACATAATTAAGATTGATTAACCATTGTTCATTTCTTTAAGCAAGTCCCTTTCTACAGTACCTAACAAAAATTAACACCTTTAGTAACTCCCCACATAATTCACTCTAAAGGCATACGAAAATAGTTTGTTTCTCTCTTAGGCTCTAACTGATTTCCAGCTCTCTCTGGGTGTATAATTGGACTTCCAAGAAGTTAACAAAATACAACCCTTCTGTCATTGCCTTTTGTTTTACTGCACGTTGCATTCAGATAACGAATTGTCAATTTCTTCACAGAACTTGGAATCAAATTTCAAGTCAACACGGACTGTATTATACCAATTCAAATACTTATTGGATGCTCCTCACGTGTCGCCTATTTAGTAGGATATGAAACCAAGTATTGCTAGAATGAAGTTATAAAAACAAGACATTTCAAAATTTAAAGTCATCCTAAAATGATGAACAGGGCATTTGACATCAATAAACACAATAAAATGACGATTTCCGATTAATTAATACACAAAACACATCACACGATGCCCTTTGCAGAATATTCACTGCAGTGCATCTGACCAGGAGGTTCTAAGGGTGCAGCCTCGACGGTGTGACAGGCTTTCGACTCTAGGTAGCCTCCAGCCCAGTCGAATTCGACCGCTGGCTGGACGAGACTTCTAGCGGCCGGCTGGTCTGATCGGTAGTTTTCCGGGGTTTCTACCATCAACACCAGGTGAGCGCCCAAGGTGAAACGGTTAGCGTACTGGACTGTTGTACCCAAGTTGGCGGGTTCAAACCCGATCGAAGCCGTGGAAATTTTAAGGGCGAAAAAATTCTTCGTACGCCTTGCTTCGGAGTGGAAGTAAAGCCGGCTGTCCCATGTTAATAAATTTACTTGCATGTAAAAGATCCTCAAGCCTAAATGACGCCTCTGACGCTAAATTGATATCGCCTGTTTCTCACCCAAGAAGTACCTACTTTCTCTGCTAGTTGGTGAAAGCGAAATTTGCGTGGTCAGACGGAAGAGCAGGCCTCATGGCCTGAATCTCGCCACGTAAAATAAGGCATTAATTCAATTCAATACAGCTGCTACAGATACCCTGATCCGCCATTGCCGGTGTGCTTCAATTCAATACAGCTTGAACAGATACCCTGATCCGCCGTGTGCTTCTGTGGCAGACACGAACCCCGCGCAGTGCACCAACCAGTTTCTCTGCAGCCACATGCGAGCGCTGTTCTACTGGTGCGAGGCCATCAGTCGTCCAGGGAGCGTCATCGGCCGCTTCTGCCCTTCCAGCAGCGCCTACACCGCGGGCATGTGCTCCGACTACGTCACCAACGACATCACCGTCCCTCCCAGGTACAGCTCGCATGCACGCCTGCGTAGAAACAAGGGTATACTCTTCTATTCTCGGATATCGCTATACTTTTGTTTTGGGTACATTATGTGATCAAAAGTATCCGGACACGGGGTAGAAAATAACTTACCGGTTCGTGGCGCCCTCCATCGGTAATGCTGTAACTCAGTAAGGTGTTGGCCCACTCTTAGCCTTGATGACAGCTTCCACTCTCGCAGGCATACTTTCAATCAGGTGCTGGAAGGTTTCTTGGGCCCATTCTTCCCGGAGTGCTGTACTGCGAAGAGGAATCGATGTCAGTCGGTGAGGCCTGGCACCGGCCTGTCGGCGTTTCAAAACGTCCCAAATGTGTTCGATAGGATTGAAGCTAGGTCTCTGACCAGTCCATTTCAGGGATGTTATTGTCGTGTAACAACTCCGCCACAGACCGTGCAGTATGAACAGGTGCTCGATCGTGTTGAAAGATGTGATCGCCATTCTCGAATTGCTCTTCAACAGTGGGAAGCAAGAAGGTGTTTAAAACATCAACGTAGGTCTGTATCGTGATAGTGCCACACAAAACATCAAGGGGTGCAAGCCCCCTCCATGAAAAACATGAAACACCACATCATAACACTATTTTTTACGTATCCAGACATTTTTGATTACATAGTAGACGTCCTCCTGCTACGACTTCAACATCACGGTCCTTTCGAGGTACGCTCTCATGTCCCGACTACATTGGATCAAGAGTATAAATTTCCTTTCTGCGTTACCGTAATACTTTTATCTACGTCTACGATGCCAGGCAAATCATATCTACATAAAACAAGTTATTGTGAAATATTTTGATGCATTTGTCACTTGTATGTTCTCCGGCTGGTCACCGACATCTCGCTGCCTACTTTGTACAGTAATCTACTATACTAATATAATGTCAAACAAGGTTAAACATCTACACATTTACAGTACAAAGTTTTAATGTTATTTCGAATGTATTCATCTTGAGAAAGATGCGTAATTTACTTGTTTACATGAACGAAGTGACCAAATATATCATTTAGACTTGTGAGTGGAAAATGTTTAAGAAAATATGGAATGCCTTTTCCTGACAATGTTATATTTTATAGTCTGAAACTCATAATCAGTTGAAATTACGCTTATGAAATGTTTATATGTTGCAGATATGTCGCTCATAATAACACTGAAACAACGTTTATCAAATATGTTTCTATTTTTGTAGAACAAAATATTTTCTATTAATATAATTTTATACCATGGTTTCCAGTACATAAAGTTCCTAGAATGGATAATACTAAGGTAATTAGAAAAAAATGTTTCAGTAAATGTAGAAGAACTTTATTAACACCTGAAAATTTCAGTTTCCTACGGCAAATGTATTGTAGCCACACCCTCCGTGTGGCTACCCCGACTCACCTGATTACCTGTATTTCGTCCAATCCAGCTTTGCCCCGGCTGCACAATCTGAAGACTTCCTAGAGGGAGGCATTTGTGATAGGGCTTACTCTAATACCCACTACATTCAAACTCATTGTTTCATTTCTTTTAGAGTGATTTCAATGATCCTTTTTATGATCGAGGTGAAGCCTCATGCTAAAACTAATCCTAAGAATTACCTTAAATCTAATCTTAAACGGCCAGGGTTCATATTCACCTGCCGGGCAGTGTCCTTCCGGCGCGGAGCGGCGACCGCAGATCGCACCCTTTTTGCCCCTCAGCAAGGCGGCAGGCGGCATTCTCCCGGTTGCCACGGCCCTGGTTACGTGAGCGGCGATCGTCGGCCGGCTGCGTCTAGCCTCATCTCTCTTTTCTCTTTAGCAAGGCGGTCGGGAGATTGCTGCGGCGTTGGCGCGGCGTGGTGGCGTCAATTGGCGCCAAAAGCGCTCGACTGGGCATGGGCGGCACGGTTTGCGGCTGCGTTAATCGCGCCTCGGCCCGTCATCCCTCTGGGCTCGCGGTCGGGCACGTATCGTCATGGCCCACTGCGATTGTTCAGGGCCATCGTCCCCAGAGTCGGCATGAGATGTAGCGATGTGGCAAGGCATTCGGGCGGCGGTGCTGCGACAGTGCATCCACTGGCGCCCCCTCGTGAGTCGAAGTAACTCGCCCTCGCCCCCACCTCGTCCAGACCCACCTACTCCTCGTCGTGTCCCTGATCGGAATCGAAATGGCAGAGGCTAGTGTCTTCAGATCGCCTCGTAGGCTCCACAGGTCACGTGCCCCTCCCGCGCTTCATTTTCCGCGGTTGGCAGGCGCGCGTATCGCGGTTTCTTCTGCTCTATTACGGCGGCGTTGACGGACGGCTGCGTCTCGCCAAATTCTGCGAAACTCGAACGTCATTCAAGTGCCGAGCAAAGGGCGCAGCGGCGATGCGTCGCTCGAAGGGAACGGCGCTCGTATTTCCCCGAGAGTCACCGGATGCGGCCTGACGTGGGTTCTGCCGAGACAAAAGTGATGCATTCCTCTGCTTCCTCGGTGTCACGAAAGCGCATGCAGGTAGTGAAAAACATCATGTTTCCTGGCGTCTTTCGCAGAGTTATACTCTATATAATTTTATAAAATACGCATCGTCACCAAACACGTGCGACCCTCCTATTACAGTATGCTGAGAAAAGGACAATTTAGTGTCAAAAATATAAACTTTCGGGAAATGGGTTTTAAAGATGCAACTCTCCGAACACGCCACCTCGATAACTTACGTCATCAGAAGAATAATTTTTCAATAACTACTTCCTTCTGATATTTTTTTACAATGTTGGTTATCTTCACTACGTAGTTTTTAATTTACTTTCTGCATATCTAAGCCTTTCAGTATTTATGCGCTGCATTATGTAAAATATTTAAAAATATTGGATCCAGCACCTAAGCCCAAAGAACGGGGACTGCACATATAAATAATACAAAATTAATTATAATAATGATATCATCACATTTCAAACGCCAGTTCAAAGAGAAAGTTATAGAAATGTATGGGAAACAAAATACCAAAAAAAATTTTTTTGACGGCAAAACGATTCCATTTCCCCTTAACGATAGCAAGCACTAATGCTTCGCCTTTTGTTGCAGTACTGTCGGCCACTACTACTTCACAACTAATGCTGAGGCTCCATTTGGTAAAGGAATCAACGGAGCATAATTAATTGCTGTCAAGCGACGCCACTTTGAATTTGTTGTCGCCGCATATGCTATACACCAGTTACAATACCTCAAATAAGAAATGAGGATTGGAACGGGTGAAAATAGATATTTGAAGATATGCTCTTGTAAACAAATAATACAATAATGTAATAAAATGTAAGCAATGAAGAAAATTAAACAATGGTGTAAAATGGGTTTATGGTGGTACAGGGAGTGACAGTTTTTTTCTGCGTTGAAAAATATAATTTAAAACATTGAAATGATATGTCTTACATATCCAACTAGTTTGATAAACAAATTTATCAACATTTTGGAGCTCTCTGTGAGCCTTAGAAGCTGGTTGTATGGTGTTGTAAGATGTAGCAGGTTGTATGGTGTAGCGGGTGTATTAGGCATGTAATGTGAAAAAAGCTGCTTGAGAAATATTCAACCTGACATCATACATCTTTCCTTCTCCACTTACAGTACATCAGAAAGTAATGAACTGGCAAACGCATGAAAAATCCATCAAATATGTAGGATTATTAATAGATACACAATTAAATTGGAAACAGCTATAAATAATAAAATATCGCAGGCTAAATCAAAACTCTACCTAGTCCAATAATAATCAGGTCAACCAAACATCCATATTATAACATAGCCCATATATCCTTAACTATATTTAAAACCATAATTAGACCACACTCATTATATGCTTGTCCAGTTTGGGAAAATGCCGTAAGATCGAACATAAAAAACCACATGCCATTCAAAAGCAGTTTCTCCGTACAATTACGAACGCACCATCGTTTATTTCCAACAGCTGCACACTGACTTCCAAATCGAAATTATAGAAAACCACATCTCTCCACACAGATGTACCCTTGCTTGCCTCAAATCACCAAAATACGTCCCCTCTAGTTAGACAGAAATCCCATTCACGATATCCTATTAAAAATAGATTTCTATTCTATACCTTCATTAAAAAGTTACCGAAATGTAACTCTATGACTAACCAAATGAATTAAGTTATTTATTTACGTCGAAAACAGTTAAAAACCGTGTGACGTGCTGCGGGAAGAAGTTAGTTCAAATCGAGCCGCGCTCGCTCAGTCGCTCGGTCAACTGTAGACTTTTTTAGTTGCGTGGGTGTCTGGGACGAACGTAGGCACTCACGATTGTCACAATGTGTGTATCAAAAACAGTTTAAAAAAGTGTGTGTGGAGTACTATGATGAGACGTTAATTTGAAGTTACGTTTATTTCCAGAAGCAAAACAAGGGGCCATCTCAGCATTTGTTCAAGGATCAGGGAAACTGGACGAAAACCTGATCGAGATGGGGTCATTGACCCAGAAGTTAAAGTAGTACAATACTTGTTACAGGTTCTTTAGAATTACACAATCCAAATGGCAAATAGAACATTAAATGTCATTGTTAAAATTAATATTACTTTCCTTTTGGATGCTCAATAAAGTCTCTAATTGTATAAGCTGTTGATACTGTCGCCTGATGAATATGATTACTACGTCGAGTGTTGTAGTTAGAGATATTAGCGTTTGCTGAAAATATATTGCCGTCCTTAAGTAATTTTTAACAAAAACCACTGATTCATATATCAAGAGACCAGTTAATAGTAAGATATCTATATTAATATAGAGAGGCTTACAAGAACACGTAGGTGGAATTTGCTTATTATTCGTACAATTCTTTCTTTGTAATCTAAATGTCCGGGAGATATAAGATTATTTTTTCAGAATATGATGCCATTTCTCAGGCGGGAATGAACATTCGCGAAATATACACAATCAGCAGAATGAAGGCTGATCTTAATTTTGTGTTCAATTAATTTAAATGGACTTTCCATTTAAGGGTTGACCGAATAGAAAGACTTAAAAATTTTGTTACCTTAACATCAGTAAATGGCACCGTTCATTTTCAATAGTACAGAATTGTTTATTTGAAATGGAAAACTGCATTGAAATCGTTTTCTTTTCATTTACTATTAATTTTTTTATTACGGAACTTATTTGAAAATCTGATATTGTACTATTTACGGTTTCTTCATTGCATAGAATATTAGTATCATCCGCAAAGAGAACTGTTCTCCCGTTTCAAACCTTCGAAGGCATATTCTTTACCTATAGTAGGAAGAGAATAGGTCCGAAAATCGATCCCTGCGGAACTCCACGTCCAATTGGCAAAGAATCGGAATGATGTGTACATAATGTTCCATTATTCTAGTAAGTTATTTCCACTCTCTGAGATTGTTTTTAAAATTAGAACTTAACCAAACTAGAGCAATACCACTGATTCCATACGGAGGTAATTTTGAAAGTAAAATATTATGAACAATGATGTCAAAAGATTTTGAAAGATCTAAAAATATTCCAATAGGTTCTTCGCTTTGATCCATGGATGAGGCAACATCTTCAAGAAAAGAAAAAAAGAAAGAAAAATGTGCAATTTCATAGGAAGAAGTTTTAAAGACGAACATTTTGCATAAATTTTTAGGGGAAACATCTGATTTTCAATTTTGTGACTGAAGACCCTTAGTGCGATAGACAGCTTCTCTCGAAATGTATTGGTTATAAAGATACTAGCCACTCTTGCCGAATAGTTCGGATTTTTTACCATATTTGCTTTTTTGTTATTTGAGTTCAAAATATTCTGATCATGTTTCATGATTTTAGTCTGCTTTATGGTTTTTTTAAAAAATATTTGTATTTTTTAAAGTAGAGGAGGAAATCTTGCGATACTTCAAAATGAAAGGAAGAATTCATTTGTTTTTACATGATGTCTTAATGCCTTGTGTTATCAAAAAATTGCTTTTTCCTGAAATATTTAATTTTCATTTTTGAAGAGGAAAGAAGTGTTTAAATGAAATGAAAGTGTAAAACAAATTACATTTATCATTTATATCAACAGTATTGTAAACCGAATCCCATGCCTCCTGCAGCAAGTAAATAGTTTTATTATACTTTTAGTAAACAATCTACTCATAAGTTTATAATTTATTGTGTCATTATTTATTTGAGTTGTATGGCCCAATTACTTAAAGCCGTTGATCTTCAGAACATTCATTGAAGGTTGGGCAATAAACACAGTTGCATTCTAACGAGGAAGCCATAGGCTTTAGTGACCTTACAGCACAAATTCTCAAACTCAAATGCTCATAAAAGCTATTAAGGAAACACTTTGTAGAGAAACTCGAACTTCTCTCCAGAAAACATAGGCAAATTTAACTCTCTAACAAGTTCAGAACCCTGGAATAAGGTACACAAATCAACAAAAACAAACGCAAAATTTAACTTGTTCATAAACTATTTATACTAGCATATCTCTTTCAATACTGTTTTCCTATAGATACTGAAGAAAACAAAAAAGAAGAAACCACCAATCATGGATAACAAAAGGAATCAAAACATCATTGAAAAGAAAACGAAACATAAATGAAACAATCATTGACTACAACTGTAGTTCTGATTACAAATTGCTTATTACAAAACCCACAAACGTGTTTTGAAGAAAGTAGTTAAACAGGCCAAACTATTAAAGAATGATCAACATAATACCAAAGTGTAAAACAAAACAAAAGCAATGTGAAACATTGTGAAAAATATTCTAAAAACAGAATCACTAAGAACATTGAACTTTACTACAAAAATCATATTCTGCACAACCTATGGGATGTACCAAACACATTATATAATTTCTCAGAAATTAGAGAAAATTAATTCATCATAATTCTTTAAATAAATCAACATGTAGTCAAATATCTGCACAACACTGAAACAAACTCCATACATATGACTCAAACTTCACCTGCAGAAATGCTAAAAATCATAAATCAAATGAAAAGCAAAATCTCATCAAGACTGAATTGTATCCCTGACACCCTCATTAAACATACTACATACATAATATAACTTCTCATGCACATTTGCAACCACTCCAGTTTGACAGGTATCCTCCCAGAAATACTCAAAAAAGCAAAAGTTAAGCCCCACTATTCAAAAAAGGCAATACTCGTGATTTCATGAATTAACACCAATGTTCTTACTATGTGGATTTTCAAAAATTCTAGAAAAACTATTTAATGACATACTCAAAAGTTTTCTCAATTCAAATAACGTATTGACAGGTGCCCAACATGAATTCCGGAATTGTAGATTAGAGACAGCTATCTTCACCTTTCTAAATGACATATTTGTTGCTCTAGATCAGAAAGAAATTCCCATTGGTTTGTTTCTAGATTTATCAAAAGCATTCGACATTACTGATCATCGCATACTGCTATCCAAACTTGAATCTTTGGGAATTAGGGGCATTGCACAACAATGGGTTAAATCTTACCTTTCAAATCATTGTAAAATAGACACAATCAAGCAAGTTAGAGATAAAAAGAGTTTGACCCATTTCTCCCAATCTAGAGTTATAAATTATGGAGTGCCACAAGGATCAATCGTAGGCCCTAAACTATTTGTCTTTTACATGCCCCTTACTCTAAAAAACAGCAAAATGGTCGTATTTGCAGATGACACAAACATTATTATTAAAGCAAATACTTAGCAAACTCTACAAAAGAAGTACAAACAGTTCTAGAATCACTAGAAAAATAAACTCATCATAAAAAAATAGTAAAACTGTCTCCCTTAACTTTCAGAATCCATTCTCTAAAGAAAACTTTCCAGCACAATTGATGATAAAACACAGGCTATGCGCATACAATTGATGATAAAACATACGCTATGAGCAGTATAATTTGCAAATGTTTATTCACATCTAAAATATGGAATCACATTGTGAGGACATTTCCCAAAAAGTATTCACACTTTCATCATCCAAAAACATGTATTAAAACCACGGACACACTCACAAACATGAGTCCTGAAAACTAATGTTCAGAAAATTAAAAATCCTACCACTCTCATGCACGAACATAATTGAAATAATAATCTTCATAAAGAAGAAAGACCCTCATGATTTCAGGCTCGGACATTCAGGCATTTATTTTTACTAAAGTAGATTTGCAAAAAAGGCATTTAAGCTAAAGTAGTGGGTAAAATATAGGAAACATTAAAAACTGACATTTAAAAGTAATTAATGTAAAAAGTTAATAATAAAATGATTCACATTTTTATTGTAAGTTCAAAATTTCAATTGGCACTCACATGGAAGAAAACTACCTTTTCTTTGT